CTTCAAAGCCAAGTGATTTGTTTAATCATGGCATTAACAACCTTATTGTAAGATGGAAAAGCATCAATGATAAGAATGGAGTCTATTTCATTTAATAAATATTTTGTTTGATATGTAAGTTGTTCGGGTTTTTCCGTCTAAGAAAAAGGGACATTAATTTCTTGATGGCCTTAAATTATAACTTTCTTCCTAGGGGACTACGAGAGCCATATTATGCCCAGAAAAAACTTTAGGAAATTTGCAGTACTAATGATTTTGTTGCAGGCATACTAAATTCAACCCAAAATTCAAATTAACACTACATTCTGTATCTAGTCCTTCAGGGATTTTCAAGAATTATAAGTGTGTACTATAATATTATTCCAACCATATGTTCATGTAGACATGATGGGGGGGGGGGGGTATGTTTGGCAATTCTCAAACTTCAGGCAAGTTTTCCTTTGACTTGTCTGTGTCTTATATGCCTATTTGAGTGTTATACTTAAAAAGAATGATCAGTTGGGGTTTATTTCTTGGACATTGCTATAATATGTCAAAAAACAAACTTCATTGTTAATCTTTTTCTTTTCAAAGATTTTCTGTTAAAATATTTGTGACGTCGATTCAGCTAAGTTGACTGATATAACTCCCTTTTTAAGTCTAAATCTTCTATTAGTAGATGCAAAGCTGTACCATTAAAGTTCTTAACTTTTTTTTTAATTATTAATTAAAGCTTTGCAACCAATAGGCCTGAAATTTGTCATAAAATCACTTGAACTGCAGATTTTGTATGCCACATTCATGTTTAATTCCTCCAGTTGTCGGATTCAAAATCAGAGACATAAAAATGGCACTTCAAAACTGTCTTGTCTCCTAAATGCCATTGCCTAAGAGACCTTTCATTCAACACCAGAATTCATCATTTGAAACACTATTTATGTATGCTGTATAATGCTTTAAAAGTTATGGTTTAAATGCCAAAAGATGGCTAAATATTAGAAGCTAATAGGTCATGATGGTATATATTACAAATTTTATGTCTGTTTGGTTCTTTAAACCATACTTATGATAATGTGCTTGATGTTAGAAGAACATATAGTTTCAATAAATCAACCTAACTCAAAAATACAATATGCCCACCATAAGTGATTTTCAAAGGTCCACATTTCAAAAGTGCTTAGATTATAGTTTATCATATTTTTATGATAGCATGCTTTCAGGCTTTTTTAAAAACTGACACTAAATTATATTATGTCAAAATTAACAAAAGCTGAAAGTATTTCATTTTGTGATAAATATATATAATATATATATAATTCACTTTGTTATAAGAAACTGATTTTTAATGTTTAGGAACTGAGGAATGTCAGGTTAGCAATCCTTACTTGTCCATTTGAACCACCGAAACCCAAGACCAAACACAAGTTAGATGTTACTTCAGTTGAAGATTATCGAGCTTTGAGGAAGTATGAACAAGAGAAATTTGAAGAGATGGTACAACAGGTAATATTTTTATAGCTCAATACATTTTAATCTTGTCACACCTACATGTGAAATTTAAAAATTTGACTAAAATATTATTGTACTTCCCAATTTTTTTTTTTACTCATTGAAATATTTCTATGGTGTATTTCACAAAGAAAATGAAAAATGTTCTAATTGTTATTACTGTGCAATTTTGAGGACCCTCTTATGTAAACAACTTGTTTACCAATATATTTGTTATTTTTATTTTTTAGTGTTTTTAAATTATCTCTTAAGGCCCGGCATGGCCAGTTGGTTAGGGCGCTCGACTTGTAATCTGCGGGTCACAGGTTCAAATCCCCGTCACCCCAAACATGCTTGCCCATTCAGCTGTGGGGGCGTTATAATGTGACGGTCAATCCCACTATTCGTTGGTAAAAGAGTAGCCCTAAGCATTGGAGATGGGTGGTGATGACTAGCTGTCTTCTCTCTATTCTTACACTACTAAACTAGGAACGGCTAGAGCAGATAGCCCTCGTGTAGCTTTACGTGAAATCCATAACAAACAAACAAATTATCTCTTGTAAACATAATGAACCATGTTGTGTGTTATTTTTCTTCTCTATCAGTGACTTTGTTGCTACAAGTACTTTGGACTGTAGATCTGACCACTCCTGATGAGGGTCAGCTTTGAAAATATCTGGAGCTGAAAGCTAAACACTGTTAGATATAGCAGATTTAGATATGTCTGTATCACTATGAATAAAATTATTTTAATATTAGTTTGTGCTTTGTTGATGTATTAGTTAGTCGGGATTCCTGTGTAGTTAACAAAGGGTCTGAACATGAATTTTTGAAAACTGTAGTATCTTTTATTACAAGCTTTTGTGAGAATGGCAAGGTCAGTTGTAGACCACATATCTTGGAAATGCTTTCAACAGACCTACCATACATGAATGTTGACTGATGAGACCACATGTAAGCATTCTAGAAGCATAAAATTATATTGGAACTACATCAGAAGACTTGACAGGTATTTTTTTCTGATGGAATTACTGTGATTCCAACTTTTCTGCTCATCTTTTTCATGAAAATAACTGTTTCCTTTCATGGTGTGGCTTTAAGTTTGTGAGACTTGAACTTGTGTAACATTAACCTCCACTTTTCAGATAATGGTATTATTCTTGATTAGCTTGGAGTTTGGTTTCATAGCCCATTGAATTCCGTAAATGCCTTGCTATGAGAGCATTCACTCTTCCAAGGTGATCTTGTTTGATGTGTTTTGTCCTAGTTATACGGTTATCAATATATCCTTCTTCAAAAAGAGCTGTGACGAAATGACCTAATCATAAGTTACCATGGCAGGATTGCACTGGGAAATGGTTGGTAATTTGCTGTGAACCAAATATATTTGTATGCCAAATATTGCATTCCATTAACCATTTGTCCCACCATTCCACTGATAATAGTCTGTGAATGTTGAGGGTATTATATGATTTTAAACACAGACTACGTATGGATTTAATGGTGGAATTTAAAAGTTTAGCCCACAGGAGATGAGAATGTAACATATACTGTGCTTCTCAATAAAGTCTGTTTTAATGATAAGAAAATAGCAGGGTACAACATATAATTATAAGTACTTGCTTATTTTGTTGTTGTTTTTTCATATGTATAGGTTAAAGACACTGGTGCAAATCTAGCTATCTGCCAGTGGGGTTTTGATGATGAAGCCAACCATTTACTACTGCAGAAGGAGCTGCCAGCTGTACGCTGGGTAGGAGGACCTGAAATTGAAGTATGTCATTTTTTAATTGAATAATATCAGTCTTGGGTATAGGATACACAATAAGTAAAAAGGGGTTTAATTAAATTCTAACTTATTCTACCGCTGTGCTTTAAAGGATTTCATTTCTTTTTTGCCAGGTTTTACAGAAAAAAAAACTAATGGTTAGGAGTGTATAGAATTGTTAGTTTTCTTGATAAAATTAACATTCCGAGGCAGCAATGTTGATATAGCAAAGAAAGTTTTGGAATATTAAGGTTCTATTTTATTTATTATTTTATTTTGTGTGTGTGTGAAGAACTGATAGGAAACTACCAGTACTGCTTTGTTTTATCTTCTCCATATATAACTTATTGATTTATAGTCATAATACTGAATATATGAAAAAAACAGTGTTTATAAAATCTCACAAACATTAAAATAGTAAAACAAAATGAAACAGTACTCATGAATGCTTTGCAAATTGAAATTTAGTGTGTCATAGACAAATAAATATTTCAAAACTTTTCAGATAATCATAAACTGTATTTTTACTGTGATTTTTAATGTCTCTGATATTTATCATTAATAAAAGTTCTATAGAAAATTTACTTAATGAAGATATGAAAATATGTAAGAGATATCCTGTATACATAAAAGTTATCCCTTTTCAACCATGTATCTCTTTACTTACAAGAGCAAATTATATCATTAAGTTTTAAAAAATTCAGTCTTATCTTTCCCCTCAGATTGCTTCTAAATTAATATTGTTACGTCTCTGTATGTTTGTTTGTTAATTTTCCTGCGATACAAGTCCTTTCTTAAATAAAATTAGTTTATTCTTCCTCAATACAACTTTGCAACACACTTAATTTCCACAGTTACTTTAACTTAAACACATGCTATAATTCACAACAATTCACTCACTTTACTTCTGAGCTTGACTTAATTGTCCGTCTCTATCTCTGCCTGTCAGCAACTATAGTTCTGATCTCTGAATCTGCTATCCTTGGTTCCCACCAACCGTAACTGCTGTCCTTGGTTCCCCACTATCCGCTTGTCTCCTTTGTCTAGCACACTTATATACGATAATACCGCCTGCGTAGCCTCTTCGAGAATCTTCTAGACACTCATCTCATGCTACCAGCGTCACCTGGCTTCCGCTGTCGTAACACACTGGCATTTTTCGCGAATCTTCTAGATACTCATTACGTGTTACCAACGTCACGTGACTTCCGCTTTTGTAACAATGTGGTTGAAACGTTCATATCTGAAATTTTGTTTTGGATAAAGTAAGTTAAAAAAACTATCTAAACTTCTAACCCTAATTTTGATTTTCTTCTGCAGGAACCCTTGTAACTTTTATCTGAAAAATAAAAAATATATGCACTTCTCACCTGTGTAAATAAAAACTTGTCAGCCTACAAAACAAAGTTGTGAAAACTGTTAAATTCAATTTGCTGTACTTTTATGTTTTACAACTTTCAAGCTACTAAGACTTAACAAAATTATAAAATTATTGTCTAGAATCTTGTATTATTGTATTTTTCATAATCTACTCCTTTCTTCCTTATATGAATTGTACACTTGTAAACTTTGGAGTTATTTTGTCGGGACTTTTGCTTGATTGCATACCTTCAGCTATCTAATTATATTTTTGGTATGCTAAATGAAAGTAATAGATTAATTCTGTTGATCTTATGCTTCTTCTTTTATTTTGTTAAAGTAATGTCTTTGGCAGTTCATTTGCTGGCTCTACAAACACTTCTGTTTGTAAATTGAAACTGGAAAGGCATAAGGTGGACTTTGTTCTGTCATGGGCTTAAAGATAGTGGTGGAATTTCTTCAAACTGCTTTATATAATTCTAAAAGGAGTACGGAGATAGGATTTATCTTATTATAAAAGTTACATGTTTATGTTAGTTTTGATGTTTTATAACATACTTTATTGAAATATGATTTGTTCAGAAAAGAGGGCTAGCATATGATGTCATGAGGCCTGTGATTATATTAGTGCCAATAAGTGTATTTTCAGTGATTACACAAGGAAAAATATCAGAAATTGTTGTATAGTGTTTTATTTCCAATTATATCTTGATCTGATCAAGAAATGTATATATCTTGTTAGCTTATTGCTATTGCCACTGGTGGTAGAATCGTTCCTCGGTTTAGTGAGCTAACTCCTGAGAAACTTGGTAAAGCAGGCCTTGTGAGAGAGCTGTCTTTCGGAACAACCAAGGATCGAATGCTGGTAATAGAAGAATGCCACAATTCTAGAGCTGTTACAATCTTCATTAGAGGAGGAAACAAAATGGTAAGTTGTGGAATATGTATGTGAAAATAGATATAAAGTGGGAGGGTGATATAGAAAAATGGTTAGAATTTCACATGGACATTCAATATATATATATATATATAATCTGTGTTAAAATATTTATTATACTTGATACCGCTCCATGTCAAGTGAATGCCACTGTGGAATATTTCTCAGTAAAACTTACAGGAAGTAATTAAATATGGAAACATATTTAACTAACAACTATAATATAGTATTTTAATTAAATTGCTTTTGTTTTTAATATATATGTATGTGTGTGTGTATTACTTTTTTGCTACTTCATTCTAATAAACCCATTTTAAGAACTGAATTTTGAAGATTAAAGAATATTGCTGTGGTAGGGTATCGAGAAATTTTGTTTTCATGGGTTGAAATTGGTTAGCCTTGGTGAGATCGGTTGGAAAGTTTTAAGTATTTATTGGCCTCGTATTCTTTAAATTTCTCTATACCTAATTATTACCATTTATGCATGTTAAAGTTTAATAAATGATGCAAAGTATACTTGATGCTTAAGAAATGTAAGTAAAGCGTGATTAACCCATTGCCAAATGGATAATACTGTTTATAATTATCCATATGTTAAAAGGTGCATGTTATAATCATTTCACATTTATGTTCAAAAACTAAACTAATTTATTATTAATGTATATTAATAAAATTAGCATCAAACCATAGTTAATAATTCAAATATTTATACTAAAGTTTTTATTTCAAAAGGAAATGTTTCAATAAATTCTCATTATTGTCTACTCTGAATCATGTGACAAATCTAGCACTCTGATTCCCCCCTTTTAGATTTTTTTTCCCCATCCCTTTTATACTTTTCAGACTGTTCAACAAGTAAGAAACACAAACTAGATGCTTGCAGGCTGGAAAATCAAATAAGAAACTCCTGTCTCCTTGATTTGTTGAGACATAAAAAAAGCTAATTTCACTGTACTGCCCTCTCTCATTTCTATATATTTTTTAGATTAAAGGTCGTAGTTTGCAGTAAAATTTTGAAGTGTTCAATATTAAGGTGATGTCCTAGCAATAATGTAATCTTTTTAACTTATTTATAGGTTAGTTAGAAAGCGAGATGAATTATAATAGTATTGGGACATTATTCTAGTGTCTAAATTATTTTTGAACAATCAACATGGTGAGAGAAAAGATTAGCACCAGAGAGCAAACAATCTCAAAGCTAAATTAAGTGCTAAATTTCTTGACTTTTATGTATATTTTTATTTATTGATGTATACTTTTTAATAAAAGTAACTAAAATGTAAGGATTAAAACATATTAGGTAAGAAAAATTTGAAATTGTGTAATGTAAGTTGTTTGACACTGTGCGATGTAACTGGGAACTTTGTTTAGCCTACATTTTCTGCTGTTAGTTGTCACGGTACTAAAGACAGTTTAAAGTATAGTAGGAGAGCAACAAAACTAAAAGAGACCATATATCAAAAGATTTGAAACCTTAAACTTTTAGGATAGATAAGTTTGTACTTCAGTTTTTATAGGGCCCAGCATGACCGGGTAGTTAGGGTGCTCGACTCGCAATCTGAGGGTCGTGGGTTCGAATCACTGTCACACAAAACATGCTCACCCTTTCAGCCATGTGGGGCATTATAATGTGATGGTCAATCCCACTATTTGTTGGTAAAAGAGTGCCCCAAGAGTTGGCAGTGGGTGGTGATGGACTAGCTGCCTTCCCTCTAGTCTTACACTGCTAACTTAGGGACACAGCCCTCGTGTAGCTTTGCACAGAATTAAAAAAAAAGGGTTTTATATTATCAAAATTATATTTTCTTAATTTTAAAAGGAAATATTTAAATCACTTCTCAATCTGCATCTCTGAAACACATGACTCAGTGGTGTCATGACTTCTTAGTTTTTGAGTTCTTCCCTTCAGAATATTCAAGCAATTAGAAACACACATAATGGATATTGACAAGCTAGAATATAAAATTTCAACTCGTATTAATACACCCCTCCCATATTATCTGTCTTGTAAGAAATGTCTGTAATTCTTTTTGATACTGTTACTGGATATGTTTATAACCAGTAGAAAGAAAATATTTTAAACTACATAAACCAGATGATTGTCTGTTTGTTTTAGTGGTTGAAGCTGATAGTTCCTCAGGATTGCTTGATGTATTTAGACTAAAGGCAATGCTGTGAACAGTAATGGAATTTTTTAGATATATTTATAGGTTAGTTAGAAAGAGGGATAAATTGTAGTAGTTTTGGAATATTCTCTTCTGGTGCAACTTATAGTTCTTGGGTTTTTGAAATGCATATTTGAAAGCTACATGAATTATTTTTGTTTAACCAACAAAGTGAGTTAAAAAAACAGGCTTACTAAACCATGTACCTGAATGCACTGGGACTCAAGGCCAAAGTTAATACTAACGAACTTGAATTTTTAGTATATGTTTTGTAACAAAAGTAGCTAAAGAAAAAAATATTGCTCATTTAGGATGTTGTAGAACTTTTTATAAATGAAGTATGAAAAGTGTAAGACGAAACATAATATTTTTATTCGTCGCGAGAAAATCACCTTTCACTCAGATTGACTTAGTAAAGCCTTCACAACCACATATTTAGTACAAATACTTTTATTAAAATATCTGATTTTTTGTGTACAGCAGACTTGTAATGGTTACTAAAAGCTATCCAAATTTTGTGAAGATACATTTAGTAACTTCTGAATTATACTAAACATTTCTGTGTGGCTTCACAGAAACGGGGTTGGTACAATGGGCTGGTGCTATTAATAGAGGGTCGTGCTAAGTATATAGTTTGGAAGAGCTAGAAGGCACTTCCATGATCATAACATAGTCTGATCTCGTAATGTTGAAATCTGCTTATCATTAATAGCATCAAAGTCTGTCTGAATATTGAATTAAGAAAAATATAAAGTTCTCGAATAGTTTAACATCAGAATAGAAATTAAGAGTATTGGGATGCAGAATTTTTTATTTTAAAACTAATGTACAAAATATAAATAAAATTAAATATTACCGTATTTAGTTGTTTAGAGTAAGTTTCCTTATATATATTAAAAAAAAGAAAAATTAATTTGTTGGTTTCAGATAGTAGAAGAAGCAAAACGAAGCCTCCACGATGCTCTTTGTGTTATCAGAAATCTTGTGAAAGATAACCATGTGGTTTATGGAGGTGGTGCTGCTGAGATTGCCTGTGCTCTGGCTGTTAGTGAACAAGCAGACAAGGTAAGGTGGATATTGTTGTTATAATAGAATTCTCTTTATTCTGATTCTCAGAATTATAAATAATAATCAAATTTGTTCCTTGTCTTTGACATTGAAATCCCAAGTATTGTACAAAAAATGTATGACTGTGGATGTTTTTGTACATAAGGTAAGGTGTAAATCCCTGTCTCTTAACTAACCCTTTTGGTAATGATATTATGTATGGGCACTCTGTGTTCAAAATTTAATTAAAAATATAACTAATCTATTTCAATAATTTTGTGCCAGAAAATAGTGTAGAAAGAACATTTAAACACATAGTATGTTTTTTTGTTAATTTGGTAAATAATTCAAAATACTTTGGAGCTTTAGTTTTTTTAGTTTCGGTCAACTTCTAAACTATGAGTGATGTATATTCTTTCTTATTTGTTTTTTTATTGTTGTTTCTTATGTCTACCATTACTTATATTTATGTCCACCAATAAACTACACAGCATTACAAAATATGTGTATCTCTAAAGTTCTTAGAGATTGTATGAGCTGAGTTATGATTTTATATTTCATTGGTTGAATTTACAGAAAAAAATGTATCAGAATAAAATAGCAAAAAATTTGTACATGTTAATAAAGATAAAAACGAGTTAAAATTAATATTATATGCTGACTGTATTAGAATAAAAACAGACAGAAAACAATTAGCTTTATTGAACTAAAATATCATTAGATACACTTGCATGGTTTTAGGCACATTAAAATAATATGAAAAATATGATATCTTTTGTTTTTTAAAAATAATGTGTATCACGAGTTAAAAAAAATCCTACAAATATTAAATATAATTATGATAATAAGCAAACTTGTGAACATGTTGTAATTTGTCTTTTTTTGTTTTTCATCTTCCTCTGTAGCCACTTAATAAGTTCAAATGTATATACTTTTTTTTTTTTTGCATTGAAACTACATATTTGCTAGATAATTTGTATTAAGTTTCTTGCAGTATGATTTGGTAGTTGTTTTTCTTCTTTGAAACTAAAAACACTTGGTGTTTTGATTCAACACATTTGGTCCCCAAAGAGTTAATTTCACAGGGTGGTCAGCCTCTAATGGAGGTATCTGATCGCAACACCCAATCTTCTATTTGAACCTTTTACTGCAGCAAATTCATTAAAAAGTAATAAAACATCCTTTGTTTTGGTAGCTGTCATTAAGTTATTCAAATAAAAGAAGATTCTATATCCTTGTTGTTGGAGAAAATATTTAATCATAGAAAATTGCATGATCTTTGTTATTTGTGAAGAAGTCATTAAGATGTGGCTCATTTTACCATGGTTTAATAACCTGATAAGCAGGTAATGTCCTGCCAGATAAGTTTAGCAGTAGGTAGCATATAATTATAGAACTGATTTTCTATCTCAGTATTCATTGTTCATTCTTTATAATAATAATAAAAAAATTTTAGGCAAAAGGAAATGGTGTTAGAAGAAATAAAGTACATATGGGTGGTCAACCTCTAATGGAGATATCTGATCGCAACTCTCAATCTCCTATTTGAACCTTTTACTGCGGCAAATTCATTAAAAAGTAATAAAAATCATTTTTGCATTTTATTTGAAAAATATTTATTTGATATTCATATCTTCTAAGACTATCAAAAATATTAGTATCAATACAAAAATAAGTTAAAAATCATAATATATGCTTTTATGTAGTATACGAAAAATATGCTTTTTCTTAAGTTTTAACAAGTACTCACTATTGATAATTTCCAATACTTAGGGGTGGTATGAAGAAAAGTAGTCTTTAGTTTTAAGTGATGAGTGGATAGTTTTCACTCTCAGGTGTTTATATATTATTATCACTCATGTAAGTTTCACACCCTTACAATATAGGGACTTTTGCACCATTGCTGCATGTTTAATTTTGAAGAAACTGTAATATGGTTTCACATTGCTACAAATTGGAGTGTTTCAAGATACGAATTAAAAATCTCATTTCCTCCAAAGAATCCAAGAAAATGAAAATATGGCATTGGGAAGCTGAAAAAGAAGAGCAACAAATATAGGACAAGAATGTTTTGTGTCCAACAAGCTTTCCAAAATTTTTCCCATTTAACACAGAAGTTCTTGTTATCAATCCAGACTTTCCATAACAGATTCAAGGCTATCTTTCCCATTTAGCACAGAAGTTCTTGTTATCAACCCAGACTTTCCATAACAGATTCAAGGCTATCTTTCCAATTTAGCACAGAAATTCTTGTTCTCAACCCAGACTTTCATAATAGATTCAAGGCTATCTTTTCCATTCAGCACAGAAGTTCTTGTTATCAACCCAGACTTTCCATAACAGATTCAAGGCTATCTTTCCAATTTAGCACAGAAATTCTTGTTCCCAACCCAGACTTTCCATAATAGATTCAAGGCTATCTTGTGTTCACAGAAAGTCTGGATTGGGATATCTTTGACTCAGGGTTGGATTATTCAAGACTGGGTACCACAGCTCTCTATAGATCAGTCCTAGACTTGTCTTAATTTCATGAACCATCATGTCGGTTTGAGAATGAGCTTGGTAGCACTTAAAACATTAAAATAGCTAAACACAGTCATTAGGGCTTTTTTTTTCATCATCATCCTGAGCAACATCAGCTTCAATGGCCACAGATTAACCCTTTTTTGACAATTGTGAGCTAGACCTTTACAAGAGTGTATTAGCACCAACTTTGTCAGTATGGGAAACTGTTGTCCACATCATGCTTGAATCATTAAGGACATCATTTGAAAGGAGGCTACTTTTCCCTGTAGGGTGGAACACTAAGTTTCCAAATCCTATTTCAGTCCATTCTGTTCAACTCATGATTCTCTATGAGCTGGGAGATGGCTTTTTGAAGGAATCAAACTGCTTGTTACAGATCTTTATCTGGAAACTCAGTAGGAACATATGTAGGCAGTGGTAAATGCTTTTGAAAGAAATAGTGGCTGTTACTAAGATTTGTTTTCCTATTGAATTTCAGGAAAATTTCCATACGACCAAAATGTCCCATTTTAAATGGTATCCTCTTCCATGTTTAAGTTATGCAATGACATGCTGTGACAATATGAGTACAGTCTGTATTTATGTTTAAGAATATAAAAGAAATAAAGGATCCAACTGTAAGTTGATTACTTACTATTGAACTGTTATTTGTTATGTTCATAACAAATTTTGATTAGTATATTTTCTTCCAGTCATATATACTGTAGTTTTGTCTACTGCAACTGACACACCAACAACAACATCAAAAACCTTTCATCGTGGATTATGACGTCACAGTAGAACTTGCCATATTTTTAATTTAATGAGTAAATTTTTGATAACCTATTTATAGTTCACCAGTAAGAAAATGTATGAAAATATTCTTGTTGGAGCATTTGCAGTCTTGTTGTGAGGATATTAATGTCATTGGAAAATAAGAAATATTCAGCATTCTTCAAAAACTTAACATTAATAAATGAATATTATTGAAGTTAGGCCTTCAAATATAACTCATTCATTGAATTTAATAGATTTTGTCATATTCATTTGAGATGTATATGAACTTTTTTTTTCTTGTATTTTTATATAATTTTTTATCAGTATTGTTTGTGGGTGTGAAGGTTCATGGTTTTAGGTATATTATTTACTGTTTACCTGTACACGTACTAAATGTTGGGGAAGTGTTTTATTAACCCTAATATGTATGGGTGTGTTTATTAAAGATCTTGTATATATGGATTAATTTAACATTTTGGTGTTGATGTGCTTCCTTGTATGCTTCTTTATTCTTATGAAGATATTGAATGAATTAGAATGCTATCTAATTAGCTCTAAAATACTGTTTCTCAAACTGGGGCCCATGAGTTGTCATAAATTTCATAAAAATATTTTAAAAGTATGATTTATAGAATAAATATTTTTCATGAAATTAAATTTATATGAATTAAAACATTTACTTTTCAAAACAAAAACATCGATAGGTTTGTGTGTGTTTGTGAAAAAACTTTTAAATTAAAAAGGGGTCCGTGAGTTAGTAAAGTTTGAGAACAGCTGATCTAATATATCCAGTTTGTAGTTAGAAACAATAACTGTAGAATATACATGATAAATGAGAATATCTGTATTACAGATCTCATCGTTAGAACAGTATGCTTTCCGAGCTTTTGCTGATGCCTTAGAGAGCATTCCACTAGCATTAGCAGAAAATGCTGGTCAACCCCCAATCCTCACTTTAACTGAGGTGAAAGCTAGGCAGGTCAAAGAAAAGAACTCTTGGCTTGGTATTGACTGTTTGAACAAAGGGACTAATGGTAAGAAACATTAGATATTTTAGTTCTTTGTGTATGTTTAAAACTGATATTTCAATATAATAAATATTTTAGTAGACTTCTGATTTCAACCACAGTAAAATGTATAATCTTTGGTGTTCGGACTTGAAAAAATTTAATGATTTCTTAAGAAGTCATGTCCTAGTACTCCAATATTTGACACTTTTTTCTTTTTTTTTTAATTATTATTATTATTATTATAGAACCAAGCTTGGCTACTCAGTAATTTTGATTGATATACAATAGATATGTTGCAGTGATGAAAAAAGTTCCTAACAAGGTGATACTGAATGTTTTAGTGTAGTCCTGTATATTCCCATCAAACATTTACAGTATTCCCACTGGAAAATAAAACAAAGGACAATGCAGCAAATGTATCATGTAATTAAACATATACCCAAGTTGTAGGTTTTAAAAATATACTTTAAATTAGTGTTTTTTAGCCTTTCATAAAATTAAACATTGTCAGGAGTTGCATCCAATAATGATTACTTCATTTGAATGCACTACCTAATTCAGCTTAGGATGTCAGAACAAAGTGTTTCTGTTGACTAGGGGGAAAGCGTAATCCCTTCCAGAATTTTGATCATCTTAGTACCTGATTTCTATCTTAAATACTTTAAAATTTCTCATGTAAAGTAAGCTCAGCATTAAGTTGATTATTATATATTACACTTTCCATTTGTTTTCTCATTATAATTATTTTTTGATATTACAGACATGAAAGAACAGAATGTGATAGAAACCCTTACCAGCAAAAAGCAACAGATAAGCTTAGCTACTCAACTTGTCAGGATGATCCTGAAAATCGATGACATACGTTCACCTGATAACTTTAATATGTAATTGAAGACTTTGTTTCCTCTCATTCAGAACAAATCCTTTGACCTACTATAGACATGTTAGATAGAACTCTTTGCTGTAATGGAATATTTTCAATAATTTAATATTTTTTCCCTGTGTTTTTGACATCACAATGTCAGTCTGTTTCCCTTCAAAGCATATTGTTTGATTTTATTTTTTGTACTTCAGAAATACATTTGGCTACTAACACCAAAACCTTGTTATTTATTTTGTGTGGAATTTGTAATTACAAAATAACACAATTCCTGATTATACAGGTATAATATTTGATGTTATTCATACACTAAATTTTCTGATGTCACTTGAAAATGGGAAATCCCCTTATCATCACACTGAAAAATTCTAATATATATATATTTCACATAATGAAAGACTGGCTTATAATAGAACAAACAACATATACATGTACTCTAAGAACAAACAATAGATGTCATTTGACCATAACTAGAGGCAGCAGGAAACAATGGAAGGGCGTGGAAGAAATATTGTTGAAGCTTCAGAACACTGGGACAATTGATAGCTTGTATTAATTAATATCTGTGACGGTATTAACCCTCTCGATATACACAGGTAAAAGTGCACATATCACAACTTTCAAACAACAAACCTGGAATCAAAACTTAATTCATAAATCAAATTTTAATGTTATACAAGTTTTAATTTCTTTATTTCAAAAGGGAATATTTGAATATATTTTCAATCTCTGCTTATCTGTATGATACGACGTTTATTTGCTCCAACTTGCCCATTTTCTTTTTTTTTTTTTGTCATCCTTATATGATGTCTTGTATTTAACATAATTACACATTTACAGTATAACTAGCTGATTCTCTGTCATATACAATAAATCCTGATTAGTTTTCTTCCCAAAATAAAATCTAAATGTTTTCTAAAAATTATATTACAGTAACAAATGTATATATAAATTGTTTCTTTTTTTCTAGTACTTCACGAAAACATTTTTGTTTGTATTTGTTCATCTTTTGTAAGTGGTCCTTGATCAGATTTTTGAGTAATGCATAGTTTTATATTCAAATCTTCTTGATAAAGCCCTTATAAATTGAACCATGTAAAAGAAAATTGGTTCTTGAAGAAATATTCCTACATGGTCAAATGTCTGAACTTGCAATTTATTAAGTGTCTTGGCAAGGGCAATGAATTTTGTGGTTAAGGCAAATGCATGAAGGTATAACTTTTCTTTAAAAAGGCTAATACACTTTTGACTGCATTTTTAAAAATCTCTTACCTAAGGTGAAAAATATCAATAACACTTTATTGTAGTGCCTTCTATTGGGTTAGAGTTATTTAAGTTGTATTTGACACATTCAGTTCTTGGTGTTTATTATGTAATATGATATCATCCCTGATTTAATCTATAATTGTCCGAGTATTCTAAAATTTTCTTGTAAGTTGGATTATAAATATATTGATAAAAATTATAATTTTGACACAACTGGGATATGAATGTCAGACTTTCACATGATAGTCGAGCACAAAAACTGATGTGACACCCAGTGTTTGTAATTGAATATTAACAAATAATTCAAATACCAAATTTAAACCATCACGTTATTGTAGGTTTTCTTTATATTGTAATATCTTGCACTAAATATAATGAGTTAATAATTTAAAAAAAGAGCCCCACTAAACTGGAATTTGAATTCAAGACAAACCACTGTGCCAATTTGAGTGATAACAACAGGGCCAAGCATTATTGACAGAGGGAGCATTTTAACAGTGGCTTTTATATACATAGATATTTCTATGGCAAAGTCTAACTTGTATAGTCTCCAATCTTTGTTTATGACAATATAAACCAAAAAGTCAAATCCACTTGCCACATCCTCTTTCACAAAATGTCAGGGATGCTCTCTGGCATTTGCTATTACACCATTTATAACCAGCAGTAAGACAAAGTTTTGATTTATTAGATGATAATTAATCTCAGCTTGCTGTCATGACAGCTTTTGAAATATTTAGCTTTCAGATTCAAAGTTCCTATTGCTGAGTTCAGGTTGACCATGTAAGGGAATTATTTCAAGCCACTTATACCTTAGTTAGAAAGCCAGGACATTATATGCTTTATGCATGTTATTATTTTGTGTTCTTAAGTGCAAATTTGAAATAAAAATTATTTTATGTGTTACTACTACTATTATTACAAGAAAATAGGGTTTAGTTTCAATGGTGGCCAATGGTAAAAAAACAAGGTAAAATGTAAGTATTATATTTCTTGCTTTTTATGTACAATTTTTATTTATTGTTATATTAGGTAGGATGACAAAAAAAAGTAGTAATAACAAAACTTCTTCACAATGTTTGCTTACAACTAGCTTGTGTGTTATTCATTCAATATGGTAACACGAGCTGTGGCATTCGTCAAGTGATTTACAACTTGTGTGGCAGGATTATTAGTTAGATACTCTTCAAAGGGCAATAAAATTAAGTATAAACAGATTTAGACTGTTACATGCCTTAAAATATTTAGGTTAAACAATTTTAATTTTCATGTTACAATCTACAGTACTTTACAAAAAAGGTAATTTATATTTATTTCATTTTTTGTTTGTGATTATTACAAGGTCAGTCTAATGGACAAGTTAATTCCATATGGTGTAAGGGTAAAGAATAAGATGGATACAATTTAGTTTTACCGAAAATAACTTGATATATATTTGTATAGGAGGTTGTAGAGGATATGCAAGTGAAGTTTCAGGAGTGTAAGACGAAAAGCATTATTTAATTTTAACTTGAAGATTACTGGACTCAGACTAATTAGTGTCTTTAGTCACATTCTGAATCCATAAATTTACAAACAAATTGATTTGTTCTGTGTACAAAAGACTTGTAGTGTCTACTAAAAGCTTGCCAAATATTGTGAAGATACACTTTCTATATTAAAGTTATAGTGTGTACTGTCATGGCCACTTGATAGTTGCAAGGTTGGTCAAAATGACTGAGTCCATATATGATGCTACGACCAATCCACGTACTGTATTATACTTAGTAATATCAGCAACGTTAAATACAATTATAAGTATCATCATTACCCAGAATTTCAATTTAAAGTCTTCACAGAGGAATGTAACCTTTTCAACTTTCATGACTCGGCAAGTGTACATATCGGCATGTTTCATGCCCTGTCTTGTTAATTTCAAATCAGAAGGATTCTATGACATCACAAACTTAGGTTATTGTCTGCTCTAGTTTTCTCTTATAAAGTATTCAGTTTGTTTTAAGTTTTATGTAGACAAGCATTATCTGAGAGAAAGTATGTAGGCTGTTTTGATCCTGAATGTTTGATCTTTTTCTGAGAAAAATTATGTTCGTCATAGTTTTTGTGTATGTTGAAATGAGCTCCAAGATAAAACAAAACAGTAACAATATTTTCAAAGTTATTGACAGATTGTTTCACTAGCTAAAAAAAAAAATGCAATTTGACCTGAAAAATAACGAGTTTGAGATAAATTGATACAGTAAAGACTTCATTTAGTCTTTAGTGGTGCAACAGTAATAATGCTTTGATCAAATTGTATTCTCCCTCCCCCAGTGGCACAGCGGTATGTCTGCGGACTTACAACGCTAGATACTGGGGTTTCGATACCCCCGTTGTGGGCAGAGCACAGATGGCCCATTACGTAGCTTTGTGCTTAAATTCAAACAAATTGTATTATGTTCTCAGACTGGGTATAGTTTACAATATAAAAATCCCCCCCTCCTCCTGTTTTAAGTGATATTCTTTGCATGTGAAAGCAGGTTTATTGTGTAGTTTCCAACTTAAGAAAACCCACTTGAAGTCACATTACTGGGATTAAAGCAAGCACATGACACTAATACACAATCCCTTTGTTTAAAGACACAAGTTTTGAGTAACAGTATCAGACGTTTCTCAGTATAATTTGACATTTATGAGAAAGTTTAGTGTGATGACCTTTATTTACAGAATTTTTGTACATTTGGAATGTTGCTGCAAGCTCCCATCTTTCACTTGAAATGAATATTTTTGTTAAAAACTTAAGTAATAATATTTGAGAAACTGAAATCATTTAAAAAGTATTTTGGTTCATAGGTGAATTTTCTTTCAAATCTCTCATACTGTGTAAGTACACTTTCTTAGTTTCTTCAATAATTTTCAGATATAATGTAAAATCCTCTTCTTTGGTTCTTTCTGCCTCATTTAGTTGCACTTTGAGTAGTTTATTTTCTTCTTGGAAAATATGTAACCTAAGAAGAAAAATTTATCTCAACTTACAACTGAAACTAGTAGTGAGGTCAACGTTTCTGTTCATAGTATAGCTGAAGAACTGGTTATATGTGAAATTGGTTGAGTGTATTCGTATTACATATCAAGGTTTTGCACTGGAATTACAATGTTCATTATTAAAGACAGGTGTTTAGGATTTACAGAATAACATGATTTACAATTTCCCTAGTGTAGACTTGTCTGCTTTTTCTTTCTTTTTTTTTTGGTGATATCTTCTGTTGCTTTTACTGCCAAACTTGTCATCATTTAGTTTAAAGTTAAAGTATAAATTCAGTATGAGACTTTGACGTGTTTGATTCAGTTTCATGAAACTCAGCGTCACTAATATTCCTAGAATTCTCAAATAGTTTGATATTCTGATGCTAATTGTAATCTATAATTACTATTAATGTGTAATATAGTAGGAATACAAAGTTATCGAGAACTTCTCACTGTTATTTGCAGTATACTTACTGATACTCTAACCCTTTACTACTGTCCACTTCCTGTCTCTTATTATCATGTTTACGACTGTTGTAAATTCCAGAAGGTTTAGGCTTAGACGCCTGCTTTATTTGGTTCAATTCATCCTTCAAACTCTTTATTTTGTATTCTTGCTCTTGTGTTTTCTTCGTAACTTCGACAACTTCCTCAGCCTTTTCTTTCAGTCTGAATGAAAATTATATAGAGGTTTTGTATCTTTTAAAATTACGAGGCTCATGAAGAAGAAAAGTCGCTTTACGAGTATTAAGTTTTACTATGTACTTCTGCATACGATTAAAACCTGTAGGAATATACAAGAGTTCACAGACACTTATAATTCCAAAATTAATGGATTTTCGTTCTTATTATTATTACACTTGTGATGGATGTAATAAAAATGATACAAGAGCAAGGTAAATTTCGAGTACATCCTGGTGTGTTCACGTGAATATATGTAGCATTAATATAGTTTATTATAAATAAATAATAATGCAAACAGACCTGTTCTGGAGTTGTGGAATTAACGCGCACAACTTTTCAATCTCCACTTGACTGGCTTCAACCATTGTTTTGTTTTTATGACAGTTAACACATGACAATGATATGCTATTTTCATCAAAGTTCTTCCCTTTCTGTGTCCTGGAATTACAAAGATTAGTCATTATAACAAAAGCTTTACCATATTTTTCTTTAAATAAATAATTTTTTTTAAGTCATTCTTAACTTATCAGATGCTAAGTTGTTCGTAGAAGATATGGTAAAACTGGTCGACTTTGGTCTGGCGCGAGTACAGTAACCCTAAAAAACATGGAACCGATAATACACAAGCTACAAATTTCGTACATTTTTACATAGATTTAAATGTTTCTCGTCGAATGGTAATTTCATGAGTCAAATATTTAATTTTAAAAATACTATTTCAAACCATTAGAGTTAGACCTATAGATACTTCAATCTTTCATTTTTCTCGTATTCGGGGAAGATCGAAATTCTTTTGAATCGAATATTTGATATATTAAGAATTCATGAATTATATGAAAAAATAACCAGTATGTGTGTTGGATTTCGCGCAAAGCTATACAAGGGCAATATGCGCTAGCTGTCTCAAAATGTTAAGTTTATAGGCTAGAAGGAAGGCAACAGTACCCATCGCCAACTCATGTCGAACCGACTATTGGATTTGGCGATCACATTTATAAAGCAGCCCCAAGTGCGGAGCGCGATTTTTTTATTTTTTGTGTAAACGGGACACTAACCACAGAACCTCGACTCCACAACCCGGCTCGATATCAATTGGACCCTCAGAACCATGCTGATATTCGATTTTTAAAAATGGAAAATTTCAATTTTTACCTGAATGGGAAGATGTCGTTAACTAAGAAGTTTACGTTAAAATGCTTATAATCTACTAAAAATATATATGTATTTTATCTAATTTTACAACGGTACTTTTAATTTAAGTCTAATAAAGTGACAGTTATTAATCAGCTTGACCTCCTAGCGGCATGTCTGCGGACTTACAACGCTAGAAACCAAGTTTCGATACCCGTGGTGGGCAGAACACATAGACCATTGTGTTGCTATGTTCTTAACTACAAATAAACAACGAATCAGCTTGAGCTGTTCTTGATGCCATGAAATCGTACACAATGTACTTACAATCTTACCTGTTCGAAGTTAATGACATATTTTGTCCAATGAAGACAGCTGCTTCTAATTTTTTGCTTTCGGCTGGATCCTGCCAATAAATGTTTGAAATGTAATATTTGTTTTCCCCGGGTATTTACATCAATAACTCAATCTGAAAATAATATCTTAATATGATGGTTTAAGAAAGTATATATATAGGCACAGCATAATTAAGATAATTGGTAAAAAATCACACTATTCCATTTTTACCAATTATCTTAATTCAAATTAGAACACAATCAGATGATACTTTATTTATGTATTGTTTGGTACCAGTTACTTCATTCAACAAGAAATCCAGGGTATGGATTAGATCGGTGATGATCTCTTCAGCTTCCATCGTTACTTTCACTATAGTTGGCTCGAACATGTATGATTGAATTAATGTTTTGTTCCCATTATATTTACTCACTGGATGTTCTGATTATTCACTTTTACTGTCATTGATTTGGTTCTGATTTCAACGTTGCTGTAAACGTAATCCATGTTTGACTATATTTTGTGATGCCGATATTTCTCAGTATGTAACGGTTTAATCGGTCTTTATTTGGGAGTGGCAAGGATATTATTAGGATAAGGGACGAAAACACGGTAACAATGAGGATACTCGACTGATGACCTAAGGCCGAGTTTGCTTGTCACTTATAATTAAGACTATTATTTTAATTTGCATTGAATATTTTAAGGAACTCTTCTGTTAGAAATTATTACACATTCAATTTGAAATATTAATTCATAGTATATTTGATTATTCGTCTCATATTTATGAATCAGTTGGTAGTAAGTCCAGAGAGTGTATCAACAAATTCGTTGTTTATTTTTTCTGTTACAAACATACCTGTGATGTATGGATATCTTTTTTTAACTTCCGAATTAGCGCTTCTTTTTCATTTAGGATTGACTCCAATTGCTGTAGTTTAGCACTATCTCGAAGGTAGCTTTGTTTTAGTTGATTAAGTTCTTCTGTTTGAAGCTGATTTTGCTGACGCTTCTTGATGTCCTGTTGATCGATCATAGTTCGAAGTTCTTTCTGTTGGTACTGCATAAGATATAGTAATCAATCACAACAATTAATTATTAAACGGTAAACGATCTCGTTTTTATAGATGTTACAGATCCAAAAATTATAAGGCTTTAGTTATCTCGACAATACTCTGAGAAATAGAAGAGTTATCTTCAAAATACAAATTGTCTAGGGTTAACTTATTAATTCACAAACACCGCATTTATATATTCTACGGAGTTGGAAACATGTAAGGACAGAGAAACCCCACGTATAAATCTATATACATATACCATTAAAGTTTTTATGAGCTCGTCATCATTTCTTCCCTTGTCCATCAACGTCGTTATCTGTTTTTTCAATAATAGTGTTTCTGAAGTAAGAATTTTATTTCTCGCTTTGCTGGCTTCTAGTTTTGTCTTTAAATCCTGGACTTCTTCTTGAAGTTTCACGACGTCAGACATTATTTTCTTAAAGGAAAAAAAAATTCAGTAAAAATGTTTCAACTTTGAATATGTCGCTTTCTTAAGCTTAATAATTTTGAATATGTTTCAAATTCGGAAGCTTTTCCCAATAAAAGTATTTCACAAGCAAAATTCATATAATTTACATTCTTAATACCAAATGTCAGCGTATCGGGACTGTGAATCCAATAATTTATAGATCGCATCAAGTTGTCATACAAACACGCTCCGCACTTCGGAGCTGTGGGTGCTTTATAAAAATAAAGGGAAAATCCCACCATTCAGCCAGACAAGAATGTTTAACTAGAAGTGTGCCCTTTAGTCCATGGGTTCAAATGACTGAATGGTGGGCCTCAATATCTATGGATTTACTGATTATGGTGGGGTGGAGTCTCAGTCTGAGGGGTTTTGTACGGCAAGGGTGTTTAACTAGAAGCGTACCATTTAGACCATGGGTTCAGAGTACAAAACCCCTCAGACTGAGACTCCACCCCACCACAACCAATACATCCATAGATATTGAGATCTTAACAGTATTGTGTATTTGCTACGGCCCCTCAGTTTGGGAAAAACCCTGCTTTAGTCTGTCAGTTCAAAATCGGGGTCGTATATGCGTAGATACCCTGGTGTATCTTTGCCCAAAATTCTGAAACATACAAAATTTCTATAACATGTATCACAGGATCAATATGTCCAGAGTACATGCTCGCCCTTTCAGCCGTGGGGGCGTTATAATGTGACGGTCAATCCCACTATTCGTTGGTAAAAGAGTAGCCCAAGAGTTGGCGGTGGGT